GTGGAGGTCTCCAGACACACCTCCGCACCCACACCGGAGAGAAGCCCTACGAGTGTAACGAATGCGACTACAGGAGCGCCACGAGTGGAGGTCTCAAGATACACCTCCGCAACCACACCGGAGAGAGGCCCTTCGGGTGCCCGGTGTGCGACAAGAAATTCACGACGGGTGGAATTCTGCGCAATCATCTTGGAACCCACATAGAGGACAAGATCTGTGTGCAACAAAAATCGTAGTGACACTGGGAATTTGCTGATTCATCTGCGAACCCACCAGGAGAAAAGCCATTTCAATGTGATGTCTGCAGCTAGAGTTTTCCCAGTGGGGCGAATACATGGACGTTCTCACACTGGAGAGAAGCCTTATGCGTGTACGTTGTGCGACAAGAAATTCTCGATGCCTAGCAGTCAGGAAACGCACAACCTTCTTATGCACACGCGACAGAGACCATTCAAGTGTGACTTGTGCAACAATGCTATATCCAGTTAAGAATTTTGTCGTTTCCACGCTCAACGCGCCTACCGCCTTTTCTGCTCTTCCATTACTTTGAGCATGATGTGGGGTGCTCGTTCTTAGAGTTATGTCTTTGGATTTGAAATATTTTTGGCATTCAATTGAATTGAAATGGTACATTATCACAGATTATGTTTACTGGGTAACCTGTATATTTAAACATTTGTCTCATAGCACCTATAACAGCATTGCTTGATTTATTTGGCAGTAAGTATGTATCTATCCATTGCGAGTAGTAATCTGCAATGACTAGAGATGCGTTACCTCCATATTCTAAAATATCCATCCCTATTTTCTCCATTCTATCTTTAGGTACTTTATGAGGTTTTAATTTCAAATGGGGGATTTTGAAATGTCAATAACGCATTTCTCCGGGTGAAATTCAACGAAAAGTGATGACCACCATAAATGTGCCATGTCCGCCGTGACTTCCAAAGTAATTACCACTCGAAATTCATTCTCTTTATATTGTTTCTGATTCGGTTCACTTTGGACTTAAAATAGTTTTGGCGCTGGTGAGGGCATTACGCCCGTCGAGCGCCCATGTAGATGCCTGTGGTCTATATTTCGCCGCACGGAAGGAGCTCGCCCGCCTACCGTAGTGAGAAATGTAATATCGAATCGACGTCGACATCGTTTCCTCGTCGATTTAGAGCCCAAAATGACGTCGAATTGACGGCAGGGTAAAAATTAATAGGGCAACATTCTTGGTGGTTCATAGACGGCACGTCGAAAAGCGTTGAAAGAAACCAAATTGGTGACAGGAGGACGAAGCAGACGATTAGACCGGATTAGACGATGCTTTGGAACGAATATGAACGGCTTTTTTCGTTTTTACTGCTGAGCGCAATTGGAGACACGACGAGAGCGGAGAGAGAGTCGTGAGCTGGAGCGAGCGCCTGGCGATGGCAGGGTGGGGCAGCCGCACTGACAGCTGAGTGCGGCGGGCCGGCCTACCTCGCAGGGGCTTTCGACCGGCTCGGAAGCAACCTCAGAGGGGAGACCTCGGCACCCCCAGAAGCGCCAACCGCAACAAATGCGCTTCAATGCGCGTAGAAATGAACATAAAAAGTGACACATTGGTGACGCTTTTAATGCGCATTGCAGCATTAAATGCGCATTTAATGGGCAGTTACTGCACACTATGCACATTTAATGCGTCACCAATGTGTCACCTTTTTGGTGCATTTCTATGCGCATTGGAGCGCATTTAATGCAGTGGTGCTTTTGGGGACGCGGCAAAAAGTAGTCAACACTGCCAACACAGACCCACCGGCCTGGGCAAAGAAACTAAGGAGAAGAAAAAAGGATTCACCACAGAGACTTGAGGACTTTAGTGATCACGAGCGCAAGGGTCAGAGTAGAATGTTGCACCTTTCAATCTCAAGGCCGTTTCAATTCATCATTAAAGCAGGGGGTGGCGGCCGGCGGCCGTCACCACAGGCCGGGCCCTACCCCCCCCCCTCCCCGGCAGCGCCGGTCGGTAATGCGCATTGAAATGCGCCTACAAAGTAACACATTTTAGGTACATTTAATGTGCATTGCTGCATTAAATGCGCATTTAATGCCCGTAATGCACATTAAGCGCGTAAAACATGCGTTGCGCATTTAATGCGCATTTAAGTGCATTGGCGCTACTAGGGCCACGACCTGGCGATCATGGGTGTGTCCGAATTCTCCATCAGAACGTTCCCTTGGGGTCCGAAGGACGATGGAGAGGGGGCCGGCAGCAGCGCGAGCAGCCCTTGCGAAAGAACGTCGGTGGTTCGCGGTCCTTCGCGGGGCGTCGCGAACCGCGAAAGGCGCACGTCCTCGCAGTAGGTCGGTCGCGGCTCGTGACGACCCCCGCGAAGGACCGCGAACAACCGACGTCCTTTCGCGAGGGTTGGTCGTGGGTTGCCCGGTTGCCCGTTGCCCGCCCTGCTGCCGGCCCCCTCTCCGTCGCCATTCGGACCTAAAGGGAACGGTTCGATGGAGAACTCGGACACACCCCATATCTCAAGCTGCTCATACCACACGCGCGCCGTCGCCTCACCGCCCTGCACGTGGCTCGCCTCCAACCCTCGCTGCATCTGGAAAGGAAGAAGAAAAGCAGTACGCAACAGCAACTCGGGCTAGCACACATCCCATCATAACCTTGTTTAGCAGTGCGCATATCCTTATCTATACATCAAAAGCATACAGCGCATTTATTTCTTTCGATGCTCTCAATCACTCTCAAAGAAGAACGTTTGAAACGCCTGTCAGCCCTTCCTTTGTTATAGTGACAAGCACAATACTTTTCTCCTGGAGAGCAAAGCTCGCTCAACGGGGGGATATAATTATTGATCTACAATATCCTTCAATTTAATGAAAAAGGGAACAGGTGTCCACTGTTAGTATCGAGGCAGTTTATTTTTGTGTTATTTAAATTACTGTAAAATACGAAGTTAATTCATCCAACCTCAATTCACAGGCATGACCACTCTTTTCTGTTTTGTTTAGATGACCCCTCAGTGTGGCATCTGCCTTTGCAGTTATGACCTGGACCTGCACAGGCCTAAATGCTTGCCATGTGGTCACACACTTTGTAAAAAGTGCCTGCAGGATTCTTGCTGCAAACGGAAGTGCCCAACTTGTAGAAAGGTCAGTCAGTAAACAATGTCCTGTGTGTCGTTCCTGTCACCAGTGATTGTTTCTTTTCCCTGGTGCAGAAGTTTTGGTCTACAACCTTTAAAATCAATTCTTTATGAGGAAGTAAAGCCCTCTAAGGTCACGCACAGATTAAAGATTGCATTTTTCATAAATAGAAAGCTATGTATTAGCTATATTTATAGTTATAATTATTGATGGTATCAATCATTGTCCGTATAAAATTCAAGGAAACTATTTGCAACTGTTTGTTATTAAATGTGATTGTTGTTGTCCTTTGCTTTCTAGCAATATTTCGTCGTTGTTTGCAGTTTTTTGCCAGTAATAACAACATGCAACAATAACTTATTATTGTATTCAATTATTTATTTTCAGGATCTGGCGGCTGCCCCTGAAGAATGTCCGGATGACATTTTTGCCCTATTGATTGAAGACGAGGCCGTTCCACCGCGTAAGAAGTCCAGAACACAGGAGACGGAGGTGCAGCAGCTGCAGCGAGGCGTGGAGGCGGGCAGGAAGGTGGTAGAGGTGCTGCGACTACTGGTCCCCAAGGCCGTGGAGGCGCTGCACCGCCAGCTGGACACGTCGGTCGCACAGCTCCACCGACTGGAGGAGTCCCTGGAGAAGCGTGTGGAACAAAAGGCGGCAGGTGACGAGGGTACCACGCCGGAACTCGAGGACGAGCAGGTACAGCTGGCCGTACAGTTGCAGCACAGCCTCCGCCTGCTCAACACCATCAAGTGCGGCGTCGTGGCAGAGGCGGAGGATGGGACGACCTGGAAGGCCTCCGTGCACATTGGCGGATTCAATGACATTCTTCGACTTCTGTTGTTGCAGCTGCGAGAATACGACCAGCTGGAAAAGGTAAGCCACAAATTAGACATTAGTGCGGCCAGTTTTGTTACCTCGATGTGGTGCTTATTTGCTGCCTTGACCTCCAGGTTGACGACGTCGCGGTGCCCTCCTCTCCAGCAGCTTACGTGGGACCACCAATGCCTGCCATACTCACCATAGACGGCTATGATTTTGACGGCGACAGTTTAATGGTGAATGACATTCTACGAAACGGACGGCGGATGAAAAATATACGCTGTATAAGAGGCCTGAAGGGCAAGAACGCGGACAAGCTACTGCGTGTCGTGGTGACGCTCCCGCTGCACGTCGAGGAACTTTTGTTCTCGGGTAAGGCTGAACCAGCGGTCTTGGAGGAGGTACAGAAAATGTCTTCACTGAAGAGATTAGACATTGAGTGCATTGAAAATTGTGACGATTACCCAGACCTGCCGTTGCAGCTCGAAGAGCTCGCCATATGTTGCCCGAGCGAGAATCAGTTGCGCTGTGTGATGCGCATGCCTGCTCTGCGGAGCTTACAGGTTGATGATTACCTTCGTACAAATATAACCTTTCCCCCCTCGCTGTATGGAACTCTGCGATGGCTGGGCGTTGTCCTCAACACTCTTCACATGTCCACCATGCTCTCGCTGATCCGTGCTCACGCCTCATCACTGGAGGAGTTGCAGATATACTGTACCATCAGTGACGAAGAAATAGGTGGAGGCTTCTACTTCCCCAACTTGGGCCGGGATCTTGCGGCGTGTGGCTTGCTTCACCTCCGGCGCCTCGTCCTCGACCGTACAAAGCTCGACCTGTGCACGGATGTCGCGGGCTGTCTGATGCAGCGACAGAGCCTCCGAGGCTTCCTACCCTCATCCGTTGAGGTGGTTTGCGTTGTGTGTCGCTTCTCTGCTCTATGGTAAAAGCATATGCTCGCAAAATACGTAAGCTCAAAGCTCCCGTCGTGAGAAACACATGCCCCTCAAAATTCTAAAATAACTATTATTTTTTTCTCAACATTTTTTTATGAAGTTTGTTAAGTTGAAATTACAAAATCAAAGCAACCCGCATTCTCCACTTTTTTCCACTCTGAATTGCTGTTCCCTCCATATCTATTTTGAACACCGTCCGACACTCACAGGACAGGGGTCTCGGACACGAGAGCTGCATGCGGCGGCTGGACGGACATGTGGGTAAAGCGAGTGCGACTGAAGTGAGGCCCACTCGCACGGCCGGCCCGGCTGGCCCACCCGTCGTCTATCGCTGAGGCCGAGGGCCGAGGGCCGAGGGGGAATTCTCTTGCGTAATACACCGTAATACACCGAACACCTAAACTAGCACCCAGAAAAGCGTGTTGTTGTATTATGTGCACTGTTCTCAACTGTCTTCGGCACTTTATTCAAGCCCAATTTCGACTAAAACCGAAAACGTTCGTGCTTGAATCAAGAAAATTTACTTAATTTAAGCGCCAATCGGGCTTGTTTTATGTACAAAATATTCTCAAAACAGTCAAATCCATTTTGCACTTGATTCAAGCAAAAAACGCTTGATACAAGAACAAGCTTTTCTGATTGAGGTATTACGCGTAGTGTAATAACTAAAGTTTAGGACTGTGCTCTAAAATAGAAGAATTTTGGTTGTGTACTGTGTAACACACGTAATACACGTATGTAATACACTGTACACGAACATTCCGAGTGAAAGGCCCCTCGGCGTATGCGTGCGCCTCTGTGCGCAGCCCATCACAACGGAGCCCCTGCGAGGTAGGCACGCCCGCCGCGCTCTGGTGCCAGTGTGGCTGGCCTACCCCGCCGCCCACAGGCGCTCGCTCCACGCCGTATGTCAGCTTCATAGACTAAAAGGGGACTTAGGCAAGTGTAAATTCCCGATTGTGCCCAAACTCGGTATATTTGCCTCTTATCTATGTAGGTGACGAATGCCGACCGAATTTTTTCCTTAGTGTCATATGCCGAAACTCCGTATAAAAGCGTATAATTTCGAAAAATACAAATTTCTACTTTTGTACATATATTAAGTGCTGCTCTGAGTCACTGCACTGGCAAACGGGTGGGTGGAGGGTGGCGAGTGGTTGGCCGGTCCGCTCTTATCTTTACAGGCCCCGCGAGATCTATCTCTGGAAAAATGGTTACGGCCGAGGGATGTTTTTTGTTTGGACATTACAGCGTGTGCTGGGATATGTATTTTAGTATATTTCTCTGCACTGTTTCCAATGCATTAACACACGTCTTACACTGACTCCTGCATTGTTTTTCCTGTCCACTTTTTCTCGTACTCGTGTCGCGCGGCCCGGGGGCGCGCTGCCTGGAATCCTCTCTGCCACGGGGTGGCGGAGGCGCGTCCGTCCCCGTCGCGTCGTTCGCCGCACCTAGAAAGGGTCCCCCGGCAAATGGTCACACACGTTGCACAACACCTTGGCCCCGGGCAGCACCCGCCGCATCCGGCCGCGCTGCTGGCGACAGGGGGCAGCCTCGTGGATGATGCCTGGACTAGTATACCACATCACGAGTCTGCGCAGCACCCGCAGCCCGCACTGCTGAATCAAAGAGTGCAGGTCGCTGCAGCCGCTCTGTGGCCATTCGCCGTCAAACGTCGTACCCACCACCAGCTGCAGGTCCTCCAGCGAGTGACCGTGGGCCCGCATCAGGGAGAGCGTCGTGGCGCGAGGGAGGCCTTTCACTCTGAGCCACTGCAGGCCAGTATGTCCCTGAGCGAGCGCGGGCAGCACGGGGGGCTGAGCGTCCAGCAAACCAACCATACTCCATACGGCCAGCCTCCTAAGCCGCGGCATGGCGTGCACCACGCGCAAGTGTGCCTCATCGAGGTCCCACACACTCAGCTGCTCCAGCGTGGGCGCGGCGCTCTCCAGCAGCGCGAGGCACCATGCAGGGTCAAATTGGCCGTACAGTTCGACCAGCCGCGTCACCTGTGGCAAACAGAGTAACTCAGTGTGGCTGGACACCAGGCCGGCGGCGGCTGCATTTCCGGGCCCGGAAGGCAGCAGGCCTGAGCCTGGTGGCCTCTCCAGCCGGTCTACAGTCACGCCGGGATCACACGCAGATCTGCTAATGTTGACAGAGTACACGCCATTCCTCCGCAGCCACGAGCGGGCTAAGCTTGAGGCCTGGTCCTCACTCACCCCTAAAGCGTCCCGCAGAACGGCGGCCTTCTGCTGCAGCTTCTCGCCGGGTCTACTCATGCTGACATCTTGCAGATCCATCCCCCGCGGGCGCGGCACCTCGACAGGTGGTGGGCCCCAGGTGGGCCCCGCTGCAGGTGGGCCCCAGGTGGGCCCCGCTGCAGGTGGTGCTGGTGCAGCCGCAGGTGATGGGCTTCGGGCATCAGAGGCAGGTCTGCCGGCTGCAGGTGGTGCTGGTGCAGCCGCAGGTGATGGGCCTCGGGCATCAGAGGCAGGGCTGCCAGCTGCAGGTGGTGCTGGTGCAGCCGCAGGTGA